TTTCAATAATAATATCAAAACAACAGCAGAGAAGACACAAAAATAGGTTGCATGTTTAGACTTTTTGAAAACCGTTATCTGCACCACCTTAATGACATTTCTCTTGACCTCCTGTTGAAGCGCCATTTAACCGTTACTTCAGGACATCCCTGCTATATATCGTCGGTGTTTTAGTAATTTATCTTGATATGAAAAAGCAAACCTCGTCATTTGTGATCTCGTCTCTGTATGATATGCCAAGAATGTGTCTGACAGATCACGTTTGCAATGCTTTTAACTTCTTTACGAATTCAGCTGTTAAGGTCTACGTTTCACAGCCATATGTAATAACTGAGTCATCATCATTATGTAGCAGGTCCTTTGATGAACGTCGCTCTCATCGCGGTCTGCCTGAAAGAAACTCTGTCTCTCGCCAGTTCTCCCGCCTCATAAACTTTCATACTCAAGGAGTCACTTATATCCTGTGACCATCTTCGTGTTGGTCGGCCCCTGCCCCTTCTTCCTGGTACCATGCCTTCTGCCATAATGTTTTTGTCCAATCCGTTGTGGCGCTTGATATGACCAAAATTTTTCAGCTTTCCAGACAGGATGCTGTTTATTAGCCAATCTACCTTGATGTTCAGATCTTTCAAGATGTCAGTATTTCTCCTCTTCTTTGTCCAACATATTCTGAGAATCTTTCTATAGCATTTCAGCTCAAAAGCCCCTATTCTCTTTCTTAAGGACTGGGAGATAGTCAAGGACTCACAATAACTGAGTAACAGAAGAAAATACATGTTATTTTGTAAGAGTGAACTCCCCGCCTATCTCCCTCTAGATAAGTAAATTCTATCTCCCCCATTTAATTACAGTAAACCTCACTAACACGAAAGTAAGTGAGCGAAACATGAAACATCAAGGTTTTGTACGAAATATTTGTGCTATCACAGGACAAATAATTATAGTTCCATTCTGAGATAGACATTTTTTAAATTTTATTTCAAGCGAGTGCTCTTTTCTTTCAAGCGAATTCGTATTAAACGGTTTTACTACACTTTACCAGCGGGCTACAACAATTTAGCTATTTTCCAAACAGGACACACACATGCAACAATTTTCTTAACAGGACATTAACATGCAACAGTTTTCCAAACAAGACACATGCATACAACAATTGTCCCAACAGGACACGGCCAAGCAAATTAACTACAGCAGCAACAATAACAACTTAATACTCAGCAGTACACTCCCAGTTTCCCCAGTCGATTTTCTAATCCACAAAGATCCGACTCGAGGTATTGATCGTCTAAAGCCAGCGCATCTACCCACACAATTAAAAAAGAAACTGCGCCATGCGTCGTGTACCGATCCAATAATCCGTGCAACTTTTTGATTTAAGGCAAACATAAACGAAACAACAGATAATTCGATGAATCAACTTCACTTTTCAACGTTACCAAAGAAAACGCAGTATTTCAATTTAACCACATAGACGCCAGATCATAAATTCATTGCGAGAAAAAACCATTTCTGAAGTTCGCAACAGGGGATATAATATTTTAGGTTAGTAAAGACAGTTGTAATGTTTAATAAATTACATTATTCAGCTTTGAGCTGCCGTGGTGCAGTGGCTAATTGCTAAACCTACGAAAGCAAGTTCTTTAGTGCATATTCACACAGAGAGAATTTTATTTAAACGACTGGTCTTTCGTGTAAACCATGTTGACTGGATCACTCATCCGGGATTAAATTGTTCATATGCTTGTTTTAGTATCCAGAAGCCATGAGTTATTAACCTTAGGCTCGGTATTATGGATATCACAACCTTTCGGCCTTGATTCCATTGTAAATACCGTAAATGTAGGAGAAATGTGTCTTTTCTGCCTACCCCCGGGAGTAAACTGGACCACAAGGAATTCGTCACCCGGTCACCGCGCAATCCGGTTTAGTCAACTACGCTAGAGAGCCGGTCAAATTGTTTATATAAATTTGTCTAGTGTCATAAACCGGGATTTTCCCTTACGTTTTACTAAATTACATAACTGCGCTACGGTAAGGACTTTCGAATACAGTTTAAATTACGGAACGCATATCAGATACTGAGTGAGTTAGCATTTCTTTTCAGCCAGGGACGGCGCATGAGTAAGAGGTCATACTGCCCCATGTCTGGCGGATCTTTGCCACATGTTTTAGCTTGTGGATGTTCATTTGGCCCATGGTTGAGCCTTATCTGATGATGGTTCATTGCAATGTCTTTCTTGGCTTTTTTTAAACTAATCTTTTTCCTTCCGTTGTCATTATGAGGCAACACCTCAGATTTTAAACAGATGTATAGGATGTGGAAGAATGGGCCATAGTTTGAATAATGGGAAGACAGAAGTAATGGTGGTATCAAAGAAACGAATTATTCCTAGGTGTGTAATAGAAGTTGATGGTGTTTTTTTAGGACAAGTACAGAAATTTAAGTATCTGGGCACATGGATAACATCAGATGGAAGATGCATAATTGAGATAAGAAACAGAATAGGACAGGCAAAAACCGCATTTTATAAAATGAAAAACATCTTGTGCAATATATCCTTGTCACTGAGAGTTAGAAAAAGAATTCTTGCTTGCTACATACATCCAGTTTTAACATATAGCTTTGAATCTTGGACAATCGGTAAGCAGACAAAACAATTTCTAGAGGCCTCGAAGATGTGGTTTTACAGAAGAATAATGCTTAGAATACATTGGACAGCCAAAAAGAGCAACCAAGAGGTTTTGAAAGAGGCGGGAGCCCGAAGACAACTTATCACAGACATCAAAAGGAGACAGTTATGAGAAGAGGGAAAACAGATCATGTTGTGACCACTAGAAAGATCTGTGGAAGGAGAGATAGAGGAAGACAACGAGAGAAGATGCTTGACAGTCTTGTTGCATGGCATGGAGGTGTGTCGTCACACGAACTGATACATGCTGCAGGAGATCGCAGATTATGGAGAGGCATGATCGCCCACGCCAGTCGGCAAGGCACCTGATGATGATGATGATAGGATGCTTCTTTATTTCAGGCTGCTCTGTTGCCAGGATTTTCAAGAGAGTTCATTCCAAGTTCTGCATAGATTTAATCCCACCCTTAATGTCATGTGGTCTGTTACTTTGTTACATTCAAGTAGAGCAATTGTTTGTTCACCGGTTTTTCAGCTGAGACAGTGAGGGACATTCATTTGATTGTCACAAGCACAGGACTGGAGCAAGTATGGGGAAACCTAACTGCAGTGATGTGGAAACTTCGACTAAGACTAAAAATAAAAGCTCACTCATAATGGGGAGCTTTTTTTGGTGTAGCGGCTAGAATCTCCCCTGCGGATCAGCAGGTCGTGTGTTCAAGTCCTTAAAGAGCCCGACTTTTTTTCTTTTTCAAAACGACATTGGCTTCCAGGTAGATCCAGCCTTAAATGGGTATCAGGTTTAGTCTTGGGAAGTAAATTCGGCCGGCGCGATGTTAGTCACATCATCCACAGATTGCCCATTGGTCTGGAAACTCTAGCTGTGGACTTTCAGCTTTCAGACACACACCGACTGGGATGAAACTAGTCTTCCCTTTGTAATATCTCTTTAATGGATTGTAGGTATTCAGTTGTCTTCAGTCTGGGTGAGATTAGACCCTTGATTCTGATTTCTGATTTAAGAATCGACGCCATAGCACACCGAGCATATCCACGGATGCTCCGTTTTCCGCAGCAAATGTCTGAAAATGTATATGCTAACTGTTTCTGTAGCATATTGATTATACACACGCCATTCTCTTCCTCTCATACGCTCCTCCTTGTCGGATCTACACCTAATTTCTCGTTCACACATAGGCCCATTTTGGTCATGTATCTTAAAGGAGTTTCTTTATTTCAGTTTCTAGAGACGCTAATAAAAATTCCACTGAGAATCCCGATCTCGTTAAAAGCAATACAGTTATGATTGATCTCTAGTAGTAAGACCCCTCACTTGACAACCGCTCTGAAAAATGTTCATCATCATCATCCCGTAACTCCACGTGTCGTTGGGTCACCAGTTTCTGTTGACTGTCTGGTCAGCTCTCTCCACGTTTCCCGGTCAGCTTCGATGGACTTCACGGTTGCATGCCTAAGGCCTGTCCAGTCAGTCAGGTTCTGTAATCAGGTCTTCCTTTGTCTGCCTCTCCTCCTCTTTTCCTCTACTGAGCCCTGCAATATTGTTTTTTGAGAGGCAGTTAAATATTATTGCATGTCCGTACCATTGCATTTGTCGCTCTTTCACTGTAGTTAAAAGAGGTTTAAAGTTGTTAATGTGCTGTATAATTTTATTATGAACCTCTTCGATTGTAATGTGGTCTCTGTAAGATATGCGAAGACTTTTTTCTGAAACATCGCATTTCTAATGCTTCTATCTTTCTTTCAAGTTCAACTGTTAAGGTCCACGTTTCACAGACATATGTAAATGTAATAAAAGCTAGTATTTTGGGCAATCGAATCTTAGTTTTACATGAAACATTTTGCAACATACTTCAAGGTTTGACGACAGATATCCAAACTTTGATAACATATCGGAAGTTGAGCAGCCTAACGCAAGTTATCGTGGGCGGCTTTCCTAGCAGCTGTTGTTCTGTGTGCCCTAAAGTTCCCATAGCTGGTCAGGCGATAACAGTTGCTGCTTTATTGACACTGTTTTGAGATATCTCCAAGTCGTTTTTTCGACAGTTAAACAAACACCGACACTACATTTGTGTATATAGGAAAATGTTTATATCAATTATGTCTGTTTCCGCTAGTTAATTCCATCACACCAGTCTGGTAGCTGTCGATTAAGTTGGAACATTACTGATAATTTTCCTGTTTAAGTTGTATTGTAAACTTATATAAATTAAAGTTTAGTTTTCACTTAAGTTCATTGGACATAACAAAATTTAAAAACGATACTAATATTTCTCACTAGTAACGGTATCACTTGTATACTTCGACAACATGTGCTGCTGATTTGAATTGATTCAAACCAGACAGGAAACAATGGTTTCTTACATTGTGTGCGTTGTTCTACTTACATGTGGAATTGGTAAGTACAGTGTATTTTATTTTTTTTGTCTCTACTCATGTTTGAATGTTTTTGTACTGTTGACTGTAATTTACATATTGCATAAACCTGTTTTGTCCAAAAAGATAAGTGTTGTAACAGTTGCATAAGTGTTCATAAGAAAACAACAGGTGAAATTGTTCGGCCATTTACCCCGGCTGCAACTAGAAAATATACCAAACGAGTCAGTGATACTCAGACAGTGGCAATCGAAAGAAAGTTCAACTATATACACGATAGATTGGGAGATAATGAGACCACGTAGTAATCCTCATTTACAGAACGTTTAATGATGTATGGCAAACAGATAAGTAATAGACACAGGAAATGTAATGATGTGTGGAGAACAGATAAGTAATAGAGACAGGAAGTGTAATGATGTGCGGAGAACAGATAAGTAATAGACACAGGAAATGTAATGATGTGTGGAGAACAGATAAGTAATAGACACAGGAAGTGTAATGATGTGTGGAGAACAGATAAGTAATAGACACAGGAAGTGTAATGATGTGTGGAGAACAGATAAGTAATAGACACAGGAAATGTAATGATGTGTGGAGAACAGATAAGTAATAGACACAGGAAGTGTAATGATGTGTGGAGAACAGATAAGTAATAGACACAGGAAGTGTAATGATGTGTGGAGAACAGATAAGTAATAGACACAGGAAATGTAATGATGACAATAAATAATAAATAAATTACAAGCTTAGTGGTGCTGACGGTTGTGGTAGTAGTAGTCGTTGTCGTCGACGTCGTAATAGTAGTAGAAGTAGTAGAAGTAGTAGTAGTAGTAGTAGTAGTAGTAGTAGTAGTAGTAGTAGTAGTAGTAGTAGTAGTAGTAGTAGTAGTAGTAGAAGGAGTAGTAGTAGTAGTAGTAATAGTAGTAGAAGTAGTAGTAGTAGAAGGAGTAGTAATAGTGGTAGCAGTAGTAGTAGTAGTAGTAGTAGTAGTAGTAGTAGTAGTAGTAGTAGTAGTAGTAGTAGTAGTAGTAGTAGTAGTAGTAGTAGTAGTAGTAGTAGTAGTAGTAGTAGTAGTAATAGTAGTAGTAGTATTAGTAGTAGCTCCAATAATAGTAAAGTAAATAACAGAAACTGAAGTTTGCCAAAAACCACTTGTGGGGGAGACATTTACAACATTAAAGACGCTGCATTTATACATGGAATGAAATTCTAATGTCAACATAACAGTAGTTGATCAGCAACTATTTTTTCTCAACGGCTCTAGACGGAAGAAATGCACGATTCTAAATATTAGCATCAACATATTTCGGAATGAACTAAGAAAGGAAAGTGAGAAGCACAACGAAAATAATATATGTTTATTAAATCACCATTAATTACAGCTTCACAGAGGTGTATAGACTGCAATGGTTGTTAGTTGTAGAGAGAACGACAAAACACTGAGACACAAACTGCGTACTATAAATATTTTAGTTGGGAATAGATCTCTAGCCAGACCATCAAGTCGAAGAAGAAAGAAGAAGAAGAAGAATGCAAAAGGTATTGAACAAAATATAATGAAGAGGGGGAGGAGGAGAGGAAGAAAATGAAGTATAAAAAGAAGCAAGAGTAAGTAAAAAGGAATAAATGAGCAAGACGTGAGGAAGTAGCAAGAAACGAGGAAAACGTGACAAAGAAGAAAGGAAAACAAAATAATTAAGTGGGAAAAAAAGAATAAGCACGAAGAATCCATATGGACCATAGGCACGATCACTGTCTTTAGTCGTGAAAATTGTTTTTTGTGATTCTGACAGATGGGGGCCGTTGCATTTCCACCCATTTGCAGACTGAAAGGTTACAGTTTTGTCGCCTAGCTGCTAAGTTGAGTGCAGTGCTCTAAATGGTGAGCTGCGGATTTCATTAGGAATGTTTTTCGACTGACCAACTTTGGTGTTTTGATCTGTAGATTCAGAAGATTTTGCGCCGCCTGTTGCCACATAATTTGTGGTGCCTTACGTGATTAAAATTGATCGCGCGTATAACTAGTACATTGTCAAATATGAACTGCAATTCTGACGTCAGACTGCTTGTGTTAGCACTTCTGATGGCTGCCTTATGCTTCTAACGCATATTTAGGCTAGTGGATATCCTGAGGCTGTAGTCTGTGTCAGTTCTTCAGCAAGTTACAGTGGTCGACGTTTCGTTATTGTGTGTGTGTGTGTGCGTGTGGTTGGAACGGGAAACTGGAGCAGTGCAATTATGGGATAAGCATTTGCTGTGAAGCTGAAACTAAGGTTGTGGATTGGCAGACTGTTGACCTTGTTTATAAAGAAGAAAAAGAAAGAAGTAAAGAAGAAGAAATGGAACAAACAACATTCTTCCAAAGTTAAAAATTGTTTTAATAACCAAATCTTTCAATAAACAACATTGACTCTGTCATGCATCCAGTTTAAGATGTACCGACTGTATGCTTTTCAACAGCTTCCGGTCGGTTTGCTAGCGAGCCGGAAAACATTTCTCCTGCGACAACCAAAAGCGTCGTTCTCAGGTGCGACCCAGACGTGAGGAACGCCGCTGTTGTTCTTACTATCAACATCAAGAAGAAAGACAGTGATGCAGGACTGAAAACAGCACCTTCTGCGACTGTGGCCCCGACTGGTAAAGTAGTCAATAATGAGGAGACAAATCCGAAACAAGGTAATGATGTAAACGGTTGATACCTAACAAGTAACTAAACACAGTTTTATGTTGTAATGCTTGTGCATCTGCAGATGTGTCGTGACTGCTGCTTCTATCAATTTTAAATAGCAATGATAGTAATAGACTGTTAAGTATTGGCACCTCTTGTGGCCTCCTTATGCTAACTGTGAGAGCTGAATATTGTAGGGATAGTTGTTTCTTTGACTCTTCACTGGGCATAGGAAAACAGCTCTAATGGGGGGAGTCGTTTCCAATTAGGCGGAACCCAGCCGGACAGCCGAAAGTTAACACAGACAAAATTACGACTATAAATAAATATACGTGGTGAGGAGACATTTCTACCACGAAAACGAAATATAACTACAATTATTGAAAAAGACGAACAATTTGTATTTGTTCTTAGATGACGATAAGTGCTGGGCGCCACACGTATGCTGCTATACATGTGCAGCACGTCTTACAGTGGGGTTGACTGACAAAAGGCTAGCGAAGTTTTTCTAAACAACGAGATTCCCTAGTGTAATCACAATGGGTATAATGCCGGACTAGACTGACTGACTGTTCACCCCATAGAATTAGACAAGCATTTATTCTTTGAATTAGGTAAAGTAACAAAGTAATGATCCCTTTTCACGCCTTATAGGCGTATCGGGCATATGGGAAGAGCGCCCATATTTTTACAGACCATTGGTACTAGGTGGGGAATGTGGTTAGCATTCCGTCGGCCGTCTTTACTTTCACGGGACAGCCATCCTAGTACCCACATTACGCTGGGTCGACCTGCGCCCAATACCTTGGTAAAAAACCTCGCAGTCAGCCGTTGCTTTCCATCGCGGTACGTTGGAATTACGAGTCGGATTCGCAACACATTACTGTAATGTAAATTTATAGTCTTAAAAAAACCAGAGCCAACAGGTGAATGTCATTATAATCGTTGAAAAAGCATGTCCAAAGCTATCAGACATTCTCTATTTAAACTCTGATAAAATAACTATAGTTTCATTTGTTAACTAGTTTTATCTAAGGCTGGTTGGGGCCTCAAGGAGTCAAAGCCTTGTTTGTGTGGTTAATAATACATGTAATTTAATCAGATACTTCCCAAATGAAGATTGGCTGCATTTGGTTGTCTAGCAGACTCTGTCTCTTGTGCTTGTAGTACACTTTTTCAACCTGTTTTTCGCTCATCTCTTGCTGTTGTCCTGCCACTTGTATCGTCGTCTACTTCTTACTATTTTGCTTTCAATTTTCTCCCTCCAGTATGGTTATTAAACAAATGGCATTAAATGTTGTAGGAGAGTAGCCGTGGCCGTGGCGGCTAGACGCCAGATTACGGATCGGAATGTCGTGGTTTCGCGTCCTGACGGAGCCAAATGTTTTTTTTTTTTTTTAGAAATGACTTTGACTCCTATATCGACCCAGCCTAGAGTGGATACCAGGGGCAGCCAGGAGAAGTAAAACTGACCACATCAACCCCCAAGCGCCCATTGGTCTATAAAACTACACGTCTAGCCCTATATTACCAAAACGCTTAAAGGCGTGAAAACGGGACTTTTACTTACTTTACTTTTGATGTTGTCGAAATATGTCAGTTGTGTCATTTGTATTTCTTCCAGTAGCTTCCCCTGGTCTCTCCAAAACTTCGCCATCTGATTTTTGTATCTTTATTTTATTTTATGTTGCAACCTTCAGAAGAAGTTGACACGACCACCACCACCACATGGTCACCACTAGGTTTTCCCATACTGAAACCTCTGCCACATAGCTCCAGGAAACGGCGGGACACGGCCGGCGAGTTT